CGCAGTAAGGTGACCCACAAGGCCCATGACACACAGGACAGTGAAAACGTATCTTAAATCCAACACAGTTCCACCAGACTCCCACTGCTAAAGGACATTAAATTTACTTTACAAAGATTTTTAGACGGCATTATTAGGGTGAGTTTCTCTTAAATACACATTGCAAAAATATTTAACTTTCCATTCTATGAATACTGTACATAAAAAGCTGTCTGCTTTTGCTACACTTTACACACATTCACTGAGCTGTCTTTATTCACCTACACACAATCCTTATTGAGGCTTTAGACCATATTGATCTGGCACTTAAAAAATATCATATTAGTCTGTATTTGTTTTAGTTGGGGAATGACGGTCATCCTTAAGGATATGATTCAGTTAGTAAGGCAAAATTATGTAATGGGGAAGTGGCAGGGGGTTTTGGTCTGTTATGAAGCATGAAGATTATGTCACTAAGGGCTGTTTCATTGAGAACTGGCCACTGTGGCCAAGTTGCAGTTTTTTTGTTGTTTTTTTTTAATCATGTCAAGCAGATACAAGTAACTTTTCTGCCACCTTAATCGGCAAGAGCATGCTTCTACTTTTCAGAATGGAAACATTGTTATCTAGGCACTCAGGCCTCTTCAGGCCGAGTTACAAAGCAGACTGCCTTCTCTCTCCGAGGCTGCAGCTCGGCCTGACCACGGAATGGGCATTTAAGCCCCAAGCCCCTGGTGGGGCCATGGATGGAAATGAAAGGGGTTGGGCCACATTTAATGTTCCCTGATGGAAATTTAAATTGTTTGCACTTTTGGTCATTGATATATGAAAAGTATGGGGTTTTCTGTCCTAACATTGAAAACCACAATGTCCGGTTCCACTCCTCGGTGGTCACGGGCCGCCCCACGTGGTGGAGCGGCCGCCTCAGAGGAATCCTTCCCTCCACGTCGCGTCCCTGACCAAGCAGCCGCAGCACTGCATGGCGGGCCACCAGCTGCTGCAGTTCAGGGGCTCCACGCTGGCCTTGGTCATCATCACCTTAGAGCTGGAGACACTCATGCCCGACTGGGGTGCTCCTATATCTGATCTGCTAAAGAAAGCACAGGGAGACATCAACTCGGCCCCAGACCGAGCTCTCGGTTTTGTTCGAGCTGCCGCGCTCTGTCCCCAAAAGGGTACCCATGGCCCTTCTTGGCCCCTGTGGACGCCAGAAGCAGCTCTGACCACGCCGGCCCTGTGGAGGCTGCCAGAGGGGCCGGGCTTCCCCCACGGGGCAGGCCCTCTGCACCTGAGTGTGGGATGCGTGGTCCCTGCACAGGCCCCTTTGGCGTGGGTTCCTCTGACAGGGAGGGAAGCGCTATCTCAGTGGCAACGCTTGTAGCCAAGAGGATGGGGCGGCGGGATGTGTCCCGTTCAGGAGGAAGCGACCCTGAGCACTACTGAGGAGGGTAAATATCAGACCTCTCACCCTCTAGACACGAGTCTAGGGGGACAGAATCCCTCGGGATGGACAGGGTAAGATGAAATGCAATGTTAGACTCGTGACAGGGTTTACTGAGTTTGGAGATGGATGGCCATGCGGTGGGAAGGTTCATGCATTTAAGTTTGCTAGTTGGACCTTCCTAAAATGGCTCCATGCTAAGCTTTCGACACTCAGCTGCTCGTTGCTTAGAACGCAGAATGGTTCTGTGTGCCAAGGGCGACCGCTCTGTTGTAATGACAGGCCAGTGCCGGGCCCCGGGCCCCTGCAGGAACCTGGGAAAGCGGCAGCTGGGAAGCCTTCAGCCCCTTCCTGCCCAGAGAACCTTCTCTTTCACCCGCCAGCGGCGCCCCTACCCAGAGCCCTTCAGAGCATCATGGCGCCCTCTCCTTGCTTGGCGCCCTCGAAATTCTAGGTTTTGTGGGTCTCGTAACAAGAAAGGAAGAGGCCCCTCAAAGAACAACTGAGAAAAAATTTCTGGGTCCTTAGAAGAAAATGAGGGGCAAGGGAAGGTTGGGGTCACTGGAGGGAAGGGCGGATCGTGACCCTGCGCCTGCCTTCCCCCAGGCCTTCCCTCGGGGAGAAGGAACGAGCGCTCGCCTGCAGCCTGGTTTTGCTTCTCCAGCAAGGGCTGGCGTCAGCCCCCACGGGAGCTGAATACAGGCCTGGGGGTGGCCTTGCTCGGGCAAAGGGCGGGGCTGGTTTTGACTGAGCAGTTCCTGCTCCTCTGCCCACCAGAGCCGGCCAGGTCCCGCCGGCTCCCCAGGCTCCCACCGGGCACACACGCAGCCCTTCGCGCCAGCCAGCCCGCCTGCCACTGCAAAAACAGGACAGTCTCTCCAGATGCGCTGACCCTGATTTGGCTGTGACTCGTGTCTTCTCCTTACGAGCATAGTTTAATGGACAGCCATTTGACCAGGCTTTAAGAATGTTTTTCCTTTATCCCTTTGAAGCAAAGGAGTTGATTGGCCTAAGTAGAGAAATTTTTATGCTAAAGAATATTACAAGGTGTGATCCCCGTGATTGGGGGCGGGGGGCTTGCAGCTGCGAGAGCTGTTTGTCGAGATGAGCAGGCTCTGAGGCAGAGCCCCTCCGACCACCGTGTGGCGCGGAGGGGGCGGAGGGGAGTCATTATGAGCGTGGCTTTGAGGGGGAAGCCAGCTGCCTCTCCTGGGCTGTGACACCATCAAGCCATTCTTTAAGCAGCCGAGTCCAGCTGGCAGCTCCGCTGCGTACGCAGTGTTGGGATGTGAATGGCTGAGCCACGCACTGGGTGATTTGTGGTCTATTCCAGTGTTAAGTTTCTGTAAATGCGCCGCGCCGCGGGGAGTAGGGTCTGCTGCTGTGAGCCACACGGTCAAGGCCACACACGCCTATGATGTCTGCACGGCAGCCAGGGCCAGTCCCGACCTTGTCTTGAAACAAACACGCATGCTGGAGCTTTTGTAAAAAATAAACCTGAGGTCCTCGCCACCCTGACTCTTGTTTCACATATATTGGGTGCCATGCACTTAGACTTGCCTGAGCCAGACGCAGTTGCAATAGCGGCTCCTGGGTCCTACCAGTAACTGTCCTCTAGTCCAGCACAGAGGGAGAAGCTGAGGGCGGCGTGTTGCCCACGGCCACCACTCTCACCGGTGGCCACGACTGTCGCTGCCTCCCTCCTTCCCCTGTGAGTGGGCACCGTAGCGAGAGGGGTGGGGCTCCTGCTGAGGGCCCACGCCAGCTGAGGCTGTCCCCGACTTTGCGGCCTGGTGGGAGGCTCCTGGACCTCTTCCCTAGGTGGGTCTGGAGGTAAGCTGGGTCCCCAGAGCTAGTCCAACTCTGAATTTCAAAGAGGAAGGTAGGCCCTGGCCAGTGTGGTTCAGTTGGTTGTAGCATCATCCCATAAGCCAAAAAGTTGTGGGTCTGATTCCCAGTCAGGGCACATGCGTAGGCTTTGAGTTTGGTCCTGGGTCAGGTTGTGTACAAGGGAACTGACTGGTGTTTCTCTCCCTGTTTCTAATAATAATAATGACAAGAAGAAGGAGAAGGAGAAGTAGGAGGAGAAGCAGCAGCAGCAGCAGCAGCAGCATGACCTCAGGTGAGAATTAAAGTAGAATAAAAATAAAAGCTGACTGTTTAAAAAAAAAAAAAGGGGGAGAGAGAGAGGGCAGACCTGTGAGCCCCAGCATGGGGCAAGGAGCAGCCCTGTTGCTGTTTTTCTGCAAATAATACTTCTCCTCTTTGGCGAAGCAAACTTCTGCATTGCCAAAGTACCACCTGTGAGTTTTAAAAAGTTTTATGCTGTTCAAGCTTGCGTTGGGGTCCTAGGTCCCACCCTACGCTCCTCTAACATTTCTTTCTCTCTTTTTCTTCTTCTTCTTCTTCTCCTTCTTTTTTTAGATTTAGGAACTCACATCCCACCCCACATCAGATTGGGGATCATTGCAGTGGGAGAAATAGGGACACAATCCTTCTTCCTGTTGTCCCCACCGCCAAAGGACAGGGATTGGCGGAGGACCGTGGCTGCGACCGACCGTGGAGCTGGGAGGGGCTCGATGGGCTACGGGACGTGCAGGCCGGCGAGCATCGCATGCCTTTCTTACACTTACCCGAGCATTACTGCCCTCTTCGCTCCCTCCACCAACAGGGCCCTTCTCCCCTGGCTTCCCGGACGAGCCCTGTCCTTCATGTCTCGGGGAGGACTTCGCTCCCTGCTCCCAGCCTCCACGTGGGTGGAGCTGAGCTGCACCTTCCTTAGGGGTGTCCGCATACCAGCCTCCCTGCTGGGCTGTCGGCTCCCCAGCTTTGGTCCCCACCGGCTCACTTCGGCCTTTCCAGAGATTAGGCTGGTGCCGAACAGAGAAAGCTCCTCAACAAGCTCACGGACCCCATGAGCTTGTCATCGCTTCCTCCCACCACTACTCTACTTCCTCAGCCAAGTGTCTGCCTGCCAGCCGGGGCGGCCCTCCTCTACACGACCGCCTCGGGTCCCCCATCGCGCACTATCCGGTAGCACAGTGACGCTGGCTGCAGCTCCACTGCTCCCCCACCGCCCATAAGGTTGCCAAGGAGTAGCTATAGCTCAGCAATGAAGGGTGCAGGTGGTTACCAACATTCAAAGCCCAATGCCTCCAGTCACCAGCTGTGTGGCCCTGAGTAATTACTCAACCTCTCTGTGCCTTAGCTAGAAAATGAGGGAAATAGTACCCGATCATAAAATTACTCCGCAGATTAGAGGGATTAATGCACGTAATGTACTTTAGAGCAATGCCTGGCACGTATCAGGGACTCGGGTGCTGGTGGCCCATGTCACGCCTCTTGCGCAAGGATGTGAACTCTTCCAGTTTGCCTGCTTCATGTCCTGCAGGAGTCCTGTGAGTCCTACAGAAGCTGCCCTCCTCCCCCGCCAAAGTTCGCAGAAAAGACAAGCTGTGTTTCACCGCAGCTGTAGCAGATTAATAGGCTCGGAAACTTGTTAAATCAGAAAGGCTACTGTCCAAAAAAGACACCACAAAAAAACTCAAAATAAATGCAAAATTTAATGGGAAAAACAAAAACGAGTACAAAGTGAATGGAAAGGAACAAAAACAGTCAATGAATGAAGGAGTAAATGAATTGACAAGGGAAGCAGTTTTAGAAAAGCGGGTTAACGTAACAGACTAGCAAGCCCAGGAGCATGAGCCCCACTTCACAGGGAACCCACACGTAGACATACGAACACGCACGCAGTCAGCCTGAACCGCTGCAAACCGCCTAGGCTCCGCTCCCTGCAACCGGGGTGGCCATGCCTCCCGGTTCGCCCGGGGCAGTTCTGGCTTATGCCTGTTGAGCTGAAATGATTAACAGCATCTCCTTTCGCTCTCAAACGTCTCAGTTTGAACAATAAATTATATGGTGATTCTACCCCAAATTAACTTGATTCACGAAAGATGCGAGAGAATATGCCAGCATGACCCCCTGACAGCCTAAATAAGCCGGCCAGCGACACGGAGGAAGAGGAGGGCGAATCGGACCCTGCAGGCAGGGGCCACATTCCACGAGGAGTCGCTTCTTAAATAACAGCAAGTGTCAAGCTCACCCTACACACCAAGGATTAATTTGGACTCAACTAGGTGACAAAATCCCAAACACAGGCAGCACCAGGAGAGAAGTGCAGTGAGGTCCATGAAAGCTGATGGGACCCTTGGAGGCAGCCTGAACTGCCACAGTGCCACAACGACAGACACCCCCATCCCCCAGAGATCTGCAGGCAGGTGGTCAGCCACCACCCTGGCCTCCCAGTTCGTCCTGGGGGCGGCCCGCAGGCCACGGTGGATGGCTGGTGGCAGAATCGCCAGACTGGCTCATGAACCGGGAGTCCTCATTTCTTATACAACCAGAGAGCCCACGGGGTCGGGGAGCCTCATCCTCAGAGATGCATTAGCCAAAGCAGCTGTCTTCAGGCCATACTTCTGCCCAAGTTTATATACTTTCAGGCGTGTCATTACCCTAAAGACAAGCTACTTGCAGCCCACATCGGCCTTAGATATGCTGGTTTACTGTCTGGCCCCACACCGAAGCATCAGTTATCAGCAGCCGCAGCCAGAGGTGGTGTCCTGGGAGGCTAAGAAAGCTCAATGCTCAAGGCTCCTTCCATAGCCCCATATCTAATCGTGTATTTATGCTCTTTTTCTTGAAGAAGGCTTCTCAAATAGTTCAAGTTTCTATCCCTTCCAAATCTGAATCCACCCCTGGTCACAACATAACACTGGGAGAATGTTCACTTTGAGCCTCAATAGAACTGCTCTGCTCCCGGCGAGCAGACCCCTCACATGCTAGGCTGCATCTTTCTGGCCTTGCCTCCGTGGACACACATGGCCCACCCCTCCAGCCCACTTGGAATAGAGCACCATTCCAGAAGGGCAGAAGGAATCGGGACTTGGTCCTGCAAATCCACAAAGCAGGCAATGGGAGGGAAGGAGGAGGGTGGGAAACAAACCACCGACCCCAAATCAATGGGCATGGCTGCCTAAGGCTTCCAGCCAGAGTGCATTAGCCTGTGATGTCCTCGAGGGGGCGCTGCGTGTCACTCTGGCAGCCTGTGCTCAGCACAGCGCTTCATCAGCATGAAGCGCACTCCTTCCTTTCATCTACGATTTCTCACCTCCTGTTTTATCGGGGCCGTATTCTCAATCCCAATCCTTGCGGGGTCGCTTGTGAGCCAAAAGGAACATGGAAGGACCAATGATGCTAGTCCTTTCTGAAAGCAACCCCTTAAGAATGCAGCAGAAGAGGAAAAGCTCCTTTGCCGGCAGTTTTTTCTTAAACTGTCCACAGACATCAGGCACCTTCCTCTTTTGCCCTGTGACTCAGCCAGGAAAAAGGAAACAGGGACCGTGAAATGAAAACCTCTTCCCAGCTGAGTGCTCTGTGCATTTGGAATACGCAGCCTTGGTTTGGGGGTCTTGGCTGGAGTCAGACACTGAACACACGCACACGGAGCTGGTCCCTGTTTGCAGGTAGCACCTGGGGGGCACACAGACAAGGGCGTTGGGCTGCTGTTCCATTTACATTCATAGTGAAAACACTGGGCGTGGTCCTGTTCGTGTTCCACTTTCATCCGTAAAGAAATTCCAAACACTGTCATTACAGGATGTTTATTACCCACCTCTCCCTATGTATTATAGGGATACTTTTACATAAAAAAGGCTGAGAGATATTTTTAGTTTTTAAAAATCAGGGAATCTGTGTTACTTAGGAAAATAATGGGAGAGGATATTATTTGTGTTTACGCTCGTGCCAAAATAAAAATTTAAAAGTGTTTTAAAAGTTATTATTGAAATTAAGCTCTAGGTTAGAAAAATTAAAATGAAGGGGAGCCGGGCAAATTTTGCAGCATGTACGCCGGCCCACACGGCCACGCCTAAGGCACCGCGTGAGTCACCATCTTGACGCTGAACAACTAGGCCGAGCACCGCCGGCGGGGACCTTGGCTAGAGCGGCGGGCACGCGGCTGCTCCATCAAGGAATAGTGACACTGTAAATGGAAGACCAGCCACTGGCTCTGAAAAAAATAAACCTCGTCAGTTTGGGATTCCAGCATTCATGGCTTTGTCGTGTTTGCATAGACCGGGGTGGCCCTCCAGGGCCGGGGTGGCCTGGGGATGGGGGCAGGGGACACTGCAAGGCTGTAAACACTGGAGTCTGTACCGGCTCCCAGTCCATCCTCACACCATGTTATGGGAGAAGGGTCACAAGGTGTAACTCAAGCAACTTAACACATGAAAGTCTAAAGTCCGCTCTTGACATGTAAGCCTGTACGTGCGTTAACTGAAAAATAAAAATAAAACAAACAACAAAAACAGACACATTAAAAGATACGCAGACAACCAAATCAAACAGAAGCAAAAGACAGCAAGATGGACACTGGGAAAGGGCAGTCAGTTTGGCATTTGTCCCAAGCAAAGCAGAGAATTCGCTTCCGTTTGTGGCGTCCCAGGCTGTGGGTTCAGATCTGACTGGGAAGTAATTTTGCAAAAGTGGATTAAAACTTAAAGAATACATACAACCAATCAAAACTATTCAACCAAATGGCCCTAACTACCGCCCCCCAACAAATGCCTTTCCGACTCACCCCATTCCCCTGACCCGGGCAGGAGGGCGGGGTCCCGGCCACCCCACCTGCCGCGCGCCTGACCTCCACAGGGCCAGCCCGGGCGGAGGGGTCGCTCTCCCAGAGGCCAAACTGACTGAAGCTTTCTGGCATGTCCAGAAAACAGAAAAGACCTGTGGGCCAGCCCAGGCCATGTGCAAAAAGCAAGGAGCCCTGACGCCGGGACGGGCCCCCACGCTGAGTGCGGTGCTGGGCCAGGGCGGCTGGCCCGCGCCCCACCCGCTGGCCCTCAGGCCCTGGCCTGGCCACAGGTCCTTCCTTGCCTTCGTTTCTGAGTGGTTTCTCCAAGTTTCTCGTATTTCCAAGAGGGACTCTGCCCGACTTTTCTTTGTGGACTGGGCCAGGCTGGCAGGGAGCAGGACAAAGCCACTTCGGGAGCCACAGACCTGCACACCCTCTTGCCGGAAACCCAGATTTCTGAGCCGCTAGCTTGAAATCCACACAGGCGCCCGTTAACCGAGCTCCCGCACTCACCAAGCCAAGAGCCGGCCGGGGACGAGGGCTGGAAGCAGAAGCAAAGCAGAGGGCAAGTTCGCACTGCCAAGGGAAGGGTGGCGCTGGGGGCCTCCCTGGGGCCAGCATGCGGGAGACTACAGAAGGGAGTGGGGGCTGTCCCACCGCAGAGGCCTGGCCTCAGGAATGGGAACTAGCGTCCAATTCCTAAAGGCCTGGCTTTGTCCCCGGTCTCCCGCAGGGAGAAGTGTAAGCTCCACTTCCTTAGATGTGTCTGTGCTTCTGTGCAGCTGCCTGGGAACGGTGTGTGTTGGTGGGGATGTGCCCGCGTCTGCGCATGTGATGGGGCAGGCGCGAAAGACAGTGCGTGCGTGTGCATGTGCGCGCGCATGGCGTGCGTGTTTTAGGGGATGCAACAGCGGGGGACGGAAGAGCGCTAGAGCCAGGAGCATCCCCAGGCCACAGCTGGCTGTGCGCTGCGTGGCCCTGACCACGGGGCTCCACGGCCACCCGGAAAGGAAGGGCCTGGTACACACGTTCCCAAACATTTCGGGAGAAAACAGGATCCCGCGGAGCCTAAGAATGAGGGCCAAGATGGGTACACCTGCTTAGTTCCTGGGCCAGCAAGGAAGGAGGGCGCCTGACACGGGCCAGGGGCCGGGAAACGCAGGGATGGACGAGATTCCCACAGTGGGGCGGCGGGGGGTGGGCACTGAATGAGGGGGATCAGGGAGGCAGGTCTCCAGGCAGGAGCCGGAGCATCGGGGCTCCCGCGGAAAGTGTAGAAACAGGCTATGAAAAGACAGCCATGAAGTGACTCTGTGTTGCCCCCACCTGGCCGATCTGCAGACTGACTCCTGGAGGCTGGGAAAAGCCTCCCTGCCACCCCCCACTGCCCTCCCTCCTGAGTCTCCGCTCAGGCTCAGGGGAAGACCTCCAGCCCCTGCTCTGGGGCTGTGCTCTCCCCAGCAGGGCTGCCTGAGCCCCGGCAGCCGGGAGCTGCTGTCTTCCTTCAGCCACGCAGTGGTCATAGAGCCCAGGGGGTCAGTGCTGGCGGGGGTCAAGCCCCCACTGTTCTGTCACCACCTGCCAGCCAACAGGGGTCCCGCGGCTGCCGTTCAGGGGCCGGGGGAAGCACCAGACTGTCCAAGCAGACACCGCAGGCGCCTTTGAAACCCGCCAGGAAGTGCTCATCTTCCCAGACCCTGTCCCTCTTCTGACCTCAAAGAACTGCCCTGAGACCCTGCACTCCCTCTCGGGGGACACTCCCTGCCCGCGTGGCCCAGCCTTTGGCGCCCCAGCTCAGAGGAGGCTACAGGAGGCTGGGAGGATGGAGAGAGAGAAAAAAAGAGAGAGGGAAAGGGAGAGGGACCCTTGAGATCAAGATCACTAGTGAAAGAAAAAGGAAGGTGAGCAAGAAGGAGGTGAAAGGGTGAGCGAAAATGAGAGAGAAAAATGGTAAACAAGCGAGAGTGACTGAGAGCGGAAGTCACCATGAAGGAGCTGGAGCGGGGACAGAGCGCGCGCCCAAGAGAGAGCAAGAGCCAGCGCAGGGCAGGGAGCCCGCCACCTACTTCTTCTTGTCCTTGTCCTTCCTCAGAGGCTGCTGCAAGGTGGTGTGCAGGGCCTGCGACTGCAGGGCCTCCACGGCGGCCTTCCTGCGGTTGAAGGCGTTGGTCTCCTCCTCCAGCTCCCGGCGCTTCTCCTCCACCTTGCGCTTCTCCTCCTGGTGGATCCGCTTGAGGTGCTCGAACTTCTCGTGGAGCTGGGAGCAGAACGGGGGAGCCTGGGCTTTCGTGTGTGCCGGGAAGGGGTCGGGCCCCCCAGCCACGAGGCCAGGCCCCGGCCGCCCCCCAGAACTCCAGCCCAGCACGCACCTCCCTTTCCTTCTCCTTCAGCTCCAGCTCTGTCTCCTTCACTTTGTTGACAAACATCTGCCTCATCTCCTCCTCCTTCCTCTGCAGCTCGCTCAGGAACTCCTTCCTCTTGGCCTCGTAGGTTTCCTGCAGGCTGTGGAGGCCCAGAGAAAAGAGGCCAAAGGTGGGGTTATAGTGGGAGGGGGCAGGCAGGGCCAGGGAGGCATGGGCACGGGGGGCGAGAGGACGCCGGGGCCCCGAGCCCCACTCCCTGGCTCACAGACGCCCGCACGGCACGTCTGGCTGTGGCCGGGAGGCAGGCGCTCGGTGCTCAGGACGGCACCTGAAGGGCTGGCTGTCCCCATCACTGTCCTGGAAGCCCATCTCCTCCAGCTTGCAGCGCCGGTAGAGCTCGTAGTGCCGACTGTGGGTCTGCTCGCGGAGGTCCTCCATGTTCACCCGGATCAGCATCTCCCGGAGCTTCACGAAGTCGCAGTGGTTCTCGTTCTCCACTGCAAGCAGAGGGCACGTGGGCGTCAGGCAGGCACGCGGGGGGCGGGGGGCGGGGGGCGGGGGAGTGGGCAGGGCGCTGGACAGCAGCAGGCTCTGGAGGCAGGACCGGCCATAGGGTCACAGGGAAGCCACAGGACAGGGGCTGCGGGCAGCAAGGCAGGACAGGGGACTGTGCCCCCCGCCACACTCACCCTGCACCACGCCCCACGGGTACTGCCGCGCCCGGACCAGCTTGTTCCCCACCTTCACCTCCTCGGTGCTGCCCACCACGGCAAAGGGCAGGTGCGCCTGGAAACGGGCCCGAGGACGTGTGAGCGCAGGGCTGCATAAGACCTGGCCGGACGCTCGCTTCCCAGCTGTCTTTTGGAGGAGGACCCTGGGACCTCCAAACACGGGCATGGGCTCAACCCACCCACCTCCTTCCTTGTGTTCTAGCATGTTCTCCCAGCCCTTGGGCTCCCCGGGGGGAGGGCATTTGAAGTTCCCTCAAAGCGCCCATGGGCCTGGCTCTTCCCTAAGTTCCCAGCCCTGGCCTCCTGCCTGCTCACCCCTATGGCTTTCGGGTCCCGCCCTGACTCATCTTGTGAAACTCGAACCTGGGGAAGCCCCAGTACCAGCCCAGTGCCCAAGTCCTCCCACCCCTTCCCCGCAGGACTCGGGACTTGGCCGGCTCCCAGGCACCCACCAGTCCTTCCTGGAGAAGGTAAGGCCGGAACCCGCGGGAGCAGGGGTCTCCTGGGCTTGTCAGAGCTCCATGCTGGTCCCACAGCCCGGAGGCCCTTGCCCAGCACTCACATTCATGACCGCGTTAATCTCTGCAACAGCCTCGTCATCAGTGGGAAACTGGTAGATCTGGACCCCGTTGCTGACCAGCTCGCCCATGATCTTGATCTTGAACTTGTGGAGCTCACTCTTGGAGATGGTGTCAGCCTTGGCAATGATGGGAATGATGTTCACCTGCCAGGAACAGGGAAGGGGGGCAGCGTTAGTCGCTCCCTGGCTGTGGACAGCCCTGCCCAGGCCTCATCCCTGGGCAGAGGGGCGGGAAGCCGGAGAGACAAGGGGGCTCCATGGAGGGGCCCAGCCTGGACCCAGCCACCTGGGGCCCTTCGGATGGGTTGTAGCAGCACTTCTTCCAGCCCTGGTTCCCCCAAAACAGCCCCCGACTTAGTCCCTTGGGCACCCCCAGCTCTGACCCAGGGTTCTCTGGAGGCCTTAACCAGCCTGGGACCTGACAGGAGCAGCGGCGGGGGGCTGAGCATCCACCTAAACAGGCAAGATGGCCCATCAGCAGTAGCCACGGGGAGACCTCCAAACGCTCCAAGGCTAAGGCTGTCCCATCTTCCCGGTGAAAATGTGCTCCCGGGATGGGGAGGGCGGTCACGGGAGCTGACAGGCGACGTGTGGGGTCGCACACCCTTCCTGGTGTCTCCGCAAAGCTGCCCTCTCGACCCCTCCCCACGCCGCCTCCTTCGCGTCCTCAGTTGTGGGCCTTGGCCCTCCCCACCCAGTGGGCTCAGTGGGACCCCAGGGAGCCCCACGGCAGGAAGGACGGGGAAGGGCAGGGGATGAGGGAACTGGGAACTGAGAAAGAGAAAATGAGCAGAGGACTGGGACCTCTGGGGAGAGGGTTGGAGGGTTACAGGGCGGGGTGGGGCGACTCCAGGCGGAGAGGGAGGCAGCCAGGAGCCAGCAGGCCGAGTGTAAGAATTCGGCAGGAAAGAAGGGGCTCAGGGCCAGGCCCAGGGGACAGAGCTCTGGAAAAGAGGCCCCGAGAGGCCTGTGCCCACTGTAGCGGGGACAGAGACACAAGAGAGGGGGCCAAGTCAAGGGGGCTGCCTGCAAACCCCAACCAGGGACTGCGGTGGACAGTCACCGCAGCCGGCCCCGCCCCCACGCCCGCCTACTGCCGGAGGACCGCACAGTCCACGGAACAAGCTGGGGGCGGTTGGCGGGCACACCTTGCTGTCCAATTTCTTCATGGTCACCAGATCCAGGGACTTGAGGGAGTGGCCGGTGGGCGTGATGAAGTAGAGGCACACGTGGATCCTCGTGTCGTGGTAGTCGAAGAGCGAGCGGCGGATCTTCAGCTCCTCCTGCAGGTAGTTTTCAAACTGCGCGTCGATGTAGTCAACGATGGGCCTGTAACTGCAGACAGCTCCGTCACCTGGGAGGCGGGGCTGGGGGCCCAGCGGCCCGCCCACCGGCAGAAGCAAACAGCTCGGGGGACCCCTGTCTGGACCCCTTCTCCTGACCCCCAAAGGGTCCTCAGGACCTCGGCTACTTCCTGACAGGCGCTCCCCTGCCCATCCCGCACCATGGAGTGTGGGATGGGCAGGAGGTTGGGTGGGACCGCCCTTCCCGCCTCTTGCCTCTCATCCTTATTGATCTGGTCCCCGAAGCCCACAGCGTCCACGATGGTCAGCTTGAGCTGCACATTGCTCTCTTGGAGGTCGTAGGTCTGGGGCCGCAGGCGCACACACTCCTCATGGTGACTGGCTTCCTCGGTCTCGAAGGTCGTGTTGAAGAGCGTGTTCATCAGCGTGGACTTGCCGATGCCGGTCTCCCCTACAGGCGGGGAGCGGAAGGGAAGGGTGTCAGAGGCTGGAACTGGGGCCGCCCCTGGCCGCGGGCTAGGCCGGTGGGGCTCAGGCACGCTCAGCCTCCACAGGAGGGAGGGGCGGGCCTCCCCCAGCATCCCTCACTGACCCTGTACCCAGGAGCCATCCCTTCTCAGTGGCCTGAGAAATAACATGTGAAAGAGACAGCCGGAAGGCTGACTTGGACAGGAGTGGCTGTGTGGAATGTCAGATGTTTATCGGCAAGGGGAAAGAGGCAGAGCCGGGCAGCTGAGAGACGCCGCCAGACACTGGCCTTTGCTGGCCCCAGTGGGTCTGACCCAGTCACCTGCTCTGCACGCCATCCCTTCCGGGTCCAGGAGGGTCATGGGGGACCCGCAGAGCCAGAGTCTGAAGCCAACAGAGGCTTGCCAGCTGCTCTGGGTGGTCCCGGCAACATGCGCTTTAATGGGGGGCAGCCAGCAGAGGCAAAGGCTCAGGCACCTGGGGAGGGGCTGGCTGCGTTCTCCGTGCCTCTGGGAGCCCCAGCCCCGAGGCCCACGGCATCTCCCAGAGCCTCCCTGTTTGGGGCTATAGTTGTTCAGACACACGTGCGCGGGAGCTCTTACTACCTGCTGCTACGATGGAGGAAGGGCCTGGTTTGCTACTATGTCCTAGGCATATAGTAGGAACAACAGTCAGTGTATTTTTAAATAAACAAACAACCTAAACCCCTGTGATAAACACTCCTAGTCTACATAGCACCTTCACGCGCCTGATCCTGTTTACTCTTCAAGGAAGCTCTGAACTGGGTTCTGGTTCCAAGTCTGTCCTTGACCCTGGCAGGACCCCCAAAGCCTCACCCCGACCTTCCAAAGTGTCCTCGGCCTGGGGGGGCCCCCTGGCAGCTGGACCAGTGGCCAGGGCAGCAGCGCCCCACCTCCCAGAAGGCCCTCGTCCGTCCTCTGCCTGGGGCTGCCCTCTGGCCAACCCCGACACTTACCCACGCAGAGGATGTTGAAGCTGAAGCCCTGAGTGACCGACTTGCTGACCAGCTGGTCGGGGAGGCTGTCGAAGCCCACGTGGCCGCCCAGGGAGAGGCTCCGGGGCTCTGGCTCCGCATTCTGCCGAGAGAGGAACAGAGCAAGGCAGTGAGCCCTCTGGGGAAGAAGGGCCAAGCTGGGGGAGGATGAACCCGAGTCTCACCCCCCACCCCGTCTGAATATTCGGCAACTCTCAGGACGCCACGTGAGTACACCAATCCAGGCCAGGTCTCCACAGAGGGAGCCCCGTGGGCCTCCTGGCCCCTGAATCATCTCAGAAAAGGCCCTTAAACCCTCAGCTCTGCTCCACCTGGGCTGGAAAGGGACGCCGGGGCCGGGGGCATCTCCTGGCTGCTACCCCTGAGGGCTCACCTGTCCTCCTGCCCAAGAGGAGGCCCCACAAGGTCCCTGGATCTTCATTCAGGATTTCAAGAGGTCAAGACTGAAGAGCACTATGTTCTAGGGGTCTCCTTCAAGACTTTCTAGACCCTCCTACAGAAGCAGGACTCAAGCAGAGGCAGGTCTGGCTCCACCCCCTCACTCAAGCTCCGTGTCTGCACGCACCCCTCGCTTCTCACGCACCCACGCGGGGGCTGCACACACGGGCCGGCTGAAGGGGCGGCACTCGCTCGGACCCACCCCCGGGCCTCCGGGCCGGTCTCAGGGCATCATGACCCTGGGGCCTCCTTCCTCTTGCCTCAGTTGGGCTCCCTAGGGACCCCCAGGCTCTGGTTCATGCCACCCTCCCAACCCAGCCCTGGTTGTTTAAGCAGAGGATTCGGACGAGAACAGGCAGGATCGTCCGATCGTTCAGAGGATTCGGGCAGAGAGGCCGGCAGCAGGTCCCAGTAAGTGGGGGCTGCCCAGAGCCGGCCCCCCGCACCATAAAAAGAAACCACAAGGACCCGAGGGAGAGGGTCAGGTCACCCATCTGCATGGCTTTCCTGGGAACGGGGGTAAACGTCTGTCCTCTGAGGGAAAGTCCCCAAGGGTTGGCCCCTCTTGCGGGCAGGCGCCAGCCAGCTCCATGCTGGGCAGAAACATGCCCCCCTGCTCCCAGCCCCCTCGCCCTGACTGCCAGCGGGAAAGGGCAGGGACAGGAAAGGGCAGTGGGTCCGGGGCTCATCCTGCCCACAGGCCCAGCTGGGGAGGAAACAGGCCCAGCTGAAGGCAGCCCTGGGAGCTATGGATCAGGGCAGCGGCGGCCCTTACGCCAAGGTACGGGGCCGGCCAACGAGTCCATTTGTTTTCTTCTGTACACTGGCTCTAGCGGCGCTTAGTTGTCTTTAACTTCATTTGAAGCAACTCTGTTAGGTTGTATTGTGACAGCTGTCATATCAGTGTGCATTTCTTAAAAGACCAAAACTGGTGAATTTGTGTGCAGTCATTTTAATATTGAAGATGGAAGATGTGCAACATCACTGGCATATTATGCTTTATTATTTCAAGAAGGTAAAAATGCCACTGAAATGCAAAAAAGGTTTGTGCAGTGTAAGAAGGTGCTATGACTGACCGAACGTGCCAAAAGTGGTTTGCGAAGTTTCGTGCTGGAGATTTCTCCCTGGAGGATGTTCCACGGTCGGGTGGACCAGTTGAAGTTGATAATGATCAAATGGAGAGATTAATTGAGAACAATCAATGGTATATCACGTGGGAGATAGCCGACATACTCAAAGCATCCAAATCAATAAAGTTATTGGTGAAAATGACAATCTGTCTTTTATATTACAGAAAAAACTGAACGGACTTTTTGGCCAACCCAACAGATACAGGCACAGTGGCAGAGGGGGCTCAGGACCAGACCGCAGGGCCGTGGTGCCTGCCCCCCAGCAGAGGGGTCTCCGTAGCACCTGAGCCCCCGGCCTCTCTGCAGCCCCAGCCTGCTGCCTCAGCCTGAGCCCCTCCGACCGCTCTTTCCTCCCAGCCAGAGCCCCCGGTTCTCCTCTTCCCTGACGGCACCGCCGGCCCAGCCTCAGCCCCGCTCGGTCACTGCGGCTCTGCGTCGGCAACCACCCTGCATGTGTGTTGGCAGCCTAGACCCCATGTGGCCTCTCTGGGCAGTTCTGTCCCCTCAAAAAGTCAGGGTTACCCCTAAACCTGCTCTATTCAATGACCCTTCTCAGCGGAGCCTCCACTCTTGTAGCTGACCCTTCCTCCCTCTCCCCCGTCCCAGGTGATCACATGATGGCCTCCCACCCAAGCCAAGGTCCCCCAGGGCTGCAAAGACAACCCGACAAAGAGGCCCCAAAGGCGGTTTCCTCTCACTGGTGCCCACATCAAATTCTGTAAAGGGAGCACAGGATGTGCTGGGTCGGGTCCCAACCCCCGGCGAGGCGTCGCGCCCCGCCCTGCGCAGTCTAAGGCCTTCCCCACGTGCCGCGCTCCCACCCAGCAGGTTACCTCTGAATTTACTCTTCAGCGTCGGCCTTCTCCCCGGCACACGCTCAGACCTGGCCTCTAGGTGCTCACATCCCAGACCCCTCACCGGGCAGTCACCCATTTCCTTGCACCGTTACATGTCCTTTTTATTATTTTTTAAACGCACCCTGGTTCTCCACTTCTTCGATAAGCACCTTGAAGTTGGCTGCAGGCTGGGGGAGGTAGGTTTTCCATTCTCCCCACCACTGTGCCTAACATGCCAGACAACACGCCGTTTATCACTCCCTGACCCGCGTCCTCAGCCGCCTCCGCACCAGGCACCTGCCCACTCACACGGGGCTGCAGCGGCTAGTCTGTCCTACCTGCTCGTGGCAGCCAGGACAATCAAACAGAGGACAACACAGTTAGTCTAGAGCTTTTTCCTTTTCAGGCGGGACTGAAAATCTCCAAAATTGAAGGCGTGCTGTGTTTGCAGAGAAGGCTCTGCAAGGATTCATCCTCTCCTTCCGGGGCGGCTGACAGGCAGGAGGCAAGCCAATATCCTGCAGCCTGTTGCCACACACCCGCACCCCCTCCCCCGGGCGCTGTGTCTGGAAACCACAGGCATGCGCCCGCCCCGTGGCAGGGCACCTGCACGGAATCCGAGGCCGTCCCATTCCTGAGTGTCCCTTACTTTCTCACAGTTCCAGGCTCCAGAGGCGAAAGGCAGGGGGTCCTCACGTGCACCGCCCCTCCACGCTCAGCCGACCCCCCTGCCTTTGCTCACACAGTGTGGTTCTCTCTGGGGACGTATGTGGCGTGCAGGGAGGTCTTCATCCTCAAGTTGTGGCCTAGGCTGCCCTCTGCCACTCCAGGGCCACAGCCCTGGGCAGTCATTGCCTGTTTGGGAGCCTCAGGGGCCATGAGAGCGTCCATCACGGGAGCATCAGTCTCCAGAGCGTGTGTGTACACAGACACGTAGCAGGAGAGCAGCCACTGGCCCTGCCAGAGCCAGAGCATTGTTCGCTGGTTTCAGGAGACTGACCTGAACTCCCCGCTCCACTGAGTCACTAACGCCGGCCTCCCTGATCCTGTATCTGGCGTCAGCAACGTCTGACCCAAGGGACACCGCTTGCTCCCAGGGGTCTGCCCCAGGTGGCCTCTGCCCACCTGCGTGGGGTCCCAGTCGGGGAGGAGCCAGCAGCTTCCAAAACATCCCGGGACCATCTCCGCTCGCACCTTCGTGTTAGCACCTCCCATTGGCTACCTGGCAATCAGCCCCGCAAGCTGGCAGGTGAAACAACAGCTCCAGCTCGGGGTGGGGCCTCACCGTCCTGAGCTGATCGGCTTGGTTCCAGGTTGAGCCTTCATGGCCAGCTTGTGACCATGAGGAGGGCCGGCTAGACTAAGGCGGGAGCCCACGCGAGGGCGGCAGAGCCACGGCATCACAGAGGCAGGAGCGAGCAGTGTCTGCCCTGTGTCAGGGCTTCTCCCTCGACGCCGGCCGCGTCTCCCCTTCGCTGCTTAAGCTAGTGAGGTGGGCTCTCTAGTCCTTGCAACCGAAAGCATCTTCGCTGCTACACTCTCCAAAGGGAACCTCTTTGGATGCGAAACAACAGGGAGAACGCAAGGGGAGACAGGACAGGGGAGGAAAAAGTGTGGAAAGAAGCTATCCCAGGGTTTACGAGCAAAGGAAGGAAGGATGTCCAATGACGACACCGCCACCTCGCTGAGGGCCACTGGTGCCGAGCAAGCCACGGACCTCACACCGTCTCCTACCCGGTCCGCTCCCGCCCTGCGTGGCAGACACCTATCACCCCCATTTCCTGGGTAGGGAATCTGAGGCTGGAGAACCCCTCAAGGCAGAGCAGGGAAGTGGGCGCAGCCGTGCCCTAGCCACAGACAGCCCTGCACCCAGACTCTCCTGCTCTTACAAGGCTCCCGGCTCATTCATTCAGTCGCTCCGCGCACGCTCACAGGGCACGTCTGCTGCGTGCCAGACGCTGGGGTGGCTGCCCAGGAAAAGACGAGGACACCAGATCCTGGACCTCGGGGGCCCAGTCTAATTCAGTCTACGCCCAACAGGCCGTAGAGGCCAAGCCGGTACCGGGAGTGGGTGACACGGAGCAGCACAGTAACACAGCAGCGACAGCTCACAGCAACCGAGCACTCGCAGGCGCAACTCCCATCGCGCTCAGGCCGCGCGTCGCCCTGTGAGGAGGTAAAAGTATCTCCACTGTACAGATGAGGCCATTGGGCCACCAAGAGGGTAAGCAATTTGCCCAAGACCACGCTGCTCAGAAAGGTGCAGCCAGGAACTGAACGGAGATGAAATGAAGGCACCACCCGTGCCTCCAGCCACTGGACTCCACTGCTGGCACCACAGTGGGGTCCCCCGGGGTGGGGGGGACAGCGGGGACCTGCCGTGCCTGGGCTTGGCCCCCGGCAGCCACGAGTCAGCAACTCTAGCCAACTGTGGGGATGCAGAACTTGCATGCCAAAGCGTCCCATTTTTTCATAAGAAGCCAGAAATCTAGAATTTTATGTGAAAGCTCCTCATTTTTAAAGGTTGGAAACTAATACAAATTGAGACCATGAGGGCCCAACACAACATGTCTGGGGGTGGGACCCGGCCCATCGCCCGACAGCCCGGTCCAGTAGGGGGGTGACCCAGAAGGACAAGACACCCAGTCTCCATTCTCGGGGCCTGGAGCCCCACAGGG